ATTATTATTATTATTATTATTATTATTATTATTATTATTATTATTATTATTATTATTATCAATGTTGTAGCTATTAATGTTGAATGAGTTTGAAGGATGACTTAGACGATGATGACACAATGATATTAGATAATGGTGAGCAGGTATTTTTGTGGATGGGTGCACACGCGAGCGAAGTGGAATTGAAGCTTGCTTATAAAGCTGCACAGGTTTGTTTGTTTAGTCATTCCTTTAATTGATTGTTCTGTATTCAGCGTATTCGCTCTACTGACAAATCTGATTTTCACAGTAATTTACATAAGGTATTTGATGGTAAAAGAATGGTATATCGTACATATATTGTTCGATAAACTCTCTTCTGTCAGGTTTATCTTGCACATATGAAGATAAAACAACCAGATCGTCCTCGTCGTTTAATGCTCAGTATCAAAGGTCGCGAGTCAAGACGGTTCACCAAATGTTTTCATGCTTGGGGTAAACATAAAGTGCCTGCTGGTGATCAGCTTTAGTCATCTATTCTTTCATTTATTGCTCAACTTCATTTTTGTACTTTCATATTACTTGTCATTATTAGTATTATCATACCATCATCAACTCATTCAACAGCACCTGCCACATAACTCATTTTAAAAGCTTCATACTAATTCTGTGACTCCGAGTTTTTCAGATGGCTTTTTAATTTATTGTTAATTAATTTATTGCTAGCTTTAGTGAGTGATGATATACCCATAGCTGTAGACGCATTTCACATGTATGCTGGTATGATATGAGTGTTTAATTCGTGTCTCTTAAGCTTTATTTATTTGATATCATCTTTTCAAGCAATGTCACGTTTTACTATATGTCTGAGAGAACTTCTAATCTGTTCATTAATAGTTATCATATTTAAAAATACTTAAGATGCAATTTGTTCACGAATGTGATTATCATCGTCGTGTTCATTCATTGCTGTAATTTATAACTTTATGATCAAAAAATTATGATCGTGCCACGTAGTATTGTCCTGATGAATTATTTGTTATATCCATTATATTCGTTTTCAATGTCCTCCTTCATTGATCAATTATTTAGCATATTCTATTAGCTGAAGACGACATAATTAACGCTTTATATAGTCTTTGTTGATAATTTACGGTCAGTGAATTCGTCCTCTTGTGAATGTACTGAATATTGACGTGTAGTTCCGAATCAAATGCTTGATTAGATACGCACTACAGTGCACCAATTAATTGATTGTTCTGTTTAATTGCAATGCGTGTATGTTCACCTTTCAGAAAATTTACACTTCAGTGTATTTACTCGATGCAATAACGGTAATAAAAGTGATTTTTGTACTCACGTTAAGCCTTGTGTATGATACCTTGAGTCGTTTGTTATCGTAATCGACACGCGACAGTTATCGGGTTGCATATCTTTTGTCATTCTTCAACGCATCAATAAATTTCTCCATTTCCAGTTCCTCCCAAGTATTTTTTATTTATCCCACATCCAATTATAGCTCAGAATAATCAGTGAAAATAATACTTTCAGGGGCATTTGTTCATTCGGTTCCATTTCAAATTAATCAAGTCTAAATAGTTCCATTCGGAGAAAGTCTTTACTAAGCAAGAATGGTTGATATTTGGGAAGGTTCGTTATGTTATTCAGTTTTATGGTATCTCTTATATTGCTTATCTACATATTTTTCGGATTCATTTCATTTTCAATCATATTAATTGGATTATTTGAATGCTGCCCATAGTAGCGTTACTCATTTCAAATTTGCACTTAATATGAACGATCAATGGATAACTCAAGTGGTAAAAAGTCAGAGCTCTGGGTCGAGATCAGTAGGTGTTATGTTGATATAGTGCTGAATTGAATGACTGTTAATCATGATGAATGTGGTGATATTGACTAATAATAATGAAAGGATTAAACAGATCTACGAAAACGTGCACGCCAGTTGGAGAATCATATCGATGTAAAGCTTTTGGCATTGAATAAACTCGCTTCGTCATCAACAACTCAGTCATCAAGTGAGAATTATTTATAAAAGCGTTTTGAAATTTGGGGACATAATTAATCCTTGATGAGCTGTGGACATAAGTGCCGCATGTCGCATCAGTTCTATTCAATTTAATGGTCGATTATAGGGACACCGTTGTCATAATTGTCACGTTTAATTTCACTGTTGTTGTGAGTGTTATGAATATCGGTTATTCGATAGTAAATAGCAGTTCTGAAGCATTTAGTGAGTGNTTCTATTCAATTTAATGGTCGATTATAGGGACACCGTTGCCATAATTATCACGTTTAATTTCACTGTTGTTGTGAGTGTTATGAATATCGGTTATTCGATAGTAAATAGCAGTTCTGAAGCATTTAGTGAGTGATTTGAATGTCATTTGAGTGGTCCAGATACAAAATTCAATCGATATATTAGAATATTCCGTTTTCAAAAAATGATATTGATTAAGGTCGTTATGATGCATCGGCAAATGATACGTCTTCGAATGTGAGCAGTAAGCAAAGTGCTTTCCATTCGTTGTCTGCCGAATTAGAAGCGATGATCGCAAAACTTACACAGATCAACGATCAGGTGCATTCGTTTATTCGTCATTCGTTTACTGACTGCTTTCATAAGGTCCCATTCTTCGAGTGACCATCTATGATTATGAAAGTATCAACTCGATAATAATTATCCTAATCAGCTCTATTAGTGTTGTTGACTGGTAATGAGTGTAAATATATACGTGTACATCAAATGACCCACTATATTTCACTTAAGATGAATGAGCACATAAGTCGGCATCAACATTCAAATTCGAGTGCATCTAGCGGGTGGGCATCAAATCCCGCTTTGCAACATACACTCAGAAGACATCGTGAAATTTTGCGTGATTATTCCAGTGAGTACACCAGATCGCGTGATAACATTAATAATCAACTTCAGAGGTTTTAATTTCGGTGTTGCTATTTATTTTTTTTCTCCACCTTATTAGTATTGTTATTATTATTACTATTATTAACAAAATTTACTCTTATTTTCTCCATTTTATTATCATTATCAAATGTATAAAGTAATTAATTAACAATTATTACCACTGAAATCCTCTCCAGAGAAAGTCTGCTAAGCGAAGGATCGTTCAGTTCGAACGAGGCAAAATGCTTGAATAATCGCTTGAAAGCGAGTGATTTATATCTAAAAGAGCACGAGCATATTAACAGCTGCGATCGCCTTCTTGATGAACAAATCAGGTATTGTCCGTTTCATCATTGCATTCGGTATATCTGACATAATAGCGGTCATTACTTTGCCATTAAAATATTTAGTATGTTGCTATTCAATTGTTAATTGTTATCGCTATTTGCAAATGAATTGTTTTTATGTGATCATAGTTAAGCCCCGCAAAACTGAAATTTTTTCACAGCATCGGAGACGAAGCCGTCTTTTTTGGCCCGGCTCTATCGGTTTCATTATGTGCTTGTAATACGAGGATTTTTGATGGAATTTTAATTGTATGTGTCATTTTATAGTTAAGATTGAAAATGAACGAAAACTCATACTGTCACTAAGCTTTGCAGTGATCTTGCAGTTTTGTTCGTAAGATGAGTTTTGCTCTTGTTGTGTGGTTTTTGTTTTGTGTTCTTTGTGTAGTTGTATCTGCTGGAATGTCCTGAGCGATGAAATTAGTGAAGGGTCATTGGAAGACAGTATACATTAGGGTGATGACTGTGTTTAATCAGATGGTGACGATGAATTGAACGATATTCCATCTGGTCTGGAAGTATGTTCTAATTAGAGGCTAGTTGAAATTATAGTTCAAGATGTGCCTGTTGCGAATTATTCCAGGCTTAGGAGGCTCGGATCGTTTCCCATGCTGTGAAATTCTGTAGGTCGCACGCCTGATCGAGAAAAACAGTATTCTCCCTTCTTCTAGTGTAGGTCAGCGAAATGAACAAGGATCTCAAGTCCTTAGCTACTAAATTTATCAAGTTATGAACGGTTGTATCCTCTCAGGCCCGTTGGTCGTGTGAGGGTTAAAGATTTAGTACCTGTGTGATTTATTTTGATTTAGCATTGCAATGTCAACCAAAGAGCATGTTTATTCACAGCGGATGACACTTAGGGATATAAGCAAGAAGGTTACCAGTATTACGAGTTGGTTTAATTTTCATTCGATTTATTTCTTCGTTCGATTCATTTCTTCACTCATGTTATTCATCAGCCGGATACTGACATTATTCTCGCCAGTCTTATTATTGTTATTACAATCGTTTCTGCCACTGTCATTACGATCATGGTTGTTATTATCAGTGGTGATTACTTTAATCGTCATTTCCAAATTCATTCGATTTCAGAGAAATATCCGATGATCAATAATATAATGCAGAAGATTCAAATGAAAAAAAGAAAGGATACTGTGATAGTTGCAGGTGTTATATCAACATGTCTTATACTGATGTTTTTATATATGATGCATTCTTAATTTGTTGTTTTATTATCTATATATCCGTATGGTTTTACTTGGTCTATGTCCCACTAAAGTGCATCAACTTTGTCTCGATCAATTTTTGTTGATTCGATCTTCCTTTTCTTTAAAGTTTTGTTCTTCATTCGTTTGTTTGCCTTGAAATTGCAAATTGTTCGATGTGAAACATTCATTTATATCGCCTTGATTGTATTTAATAAAGATATTGTTTTTGTGGAAAAATTTTTCTATTCGATTAATTGATGGGATCTGTGATTTAATAAAATGCTGTGTTCAAATGTCGTTTATTGTTACAGTATCGTTCAACGTTCAAAAGACTCTCAAATGAATTAATATTAATGTTAGAAGTGAGTTATAGTGTGTGTCAAAAAGGCCATTCCACACAAACCACTATTAGTCAATCTGCTCTTGATTTCATTCAATTTTTTCAGTTATTCTATCAACTGTTTACTAATTATTTTTTTGTAAACTGATAATTCATTCCGGTTATTTGTGCATATCGATTCAACGAAGACGTTTTTAGCAATTATTTTTTTGTACTTTATTTCGAAACAATTTTGCATCTGCAGTTTGTTTCACACATTTCGAGCCTTTAATGAAACAGTACCGATGCTCGTTGAATAACACGTTTTCTGATCAACCAGTCGTGTAATTTTCGTTCAGTAATCNCATTATCGCGTCGTCTTTGTTGAAGAACTCTTCGTCTGATTTATTATTGTTCAGAGTACAATGTCAACCCATGATCCTTACTTTGCTACGAATTGTATTGCTTCACGTTTCTATCTGCTTTGTTCACTACGAAATTGTTATTATTATTTGAACAGAGTTATCAATCCTCTCCTCAACTGAAGATATCCAGAGCCGTATCCTTTCTGCATCATGCCTTGATCAATTTTTAGTATCCACTCAAATGAAAGGAGCATTTATAATCATTTTATCTAGCTTCTATGAAAATGATCTATTCGATGCCATTTTGTTTTTGATAATAAATGCAATAAATTAATTTTCGTACTAATGCGGGCCTGGTAAATATATCAATGTTATCTGAAAACGATTATACTCACTTTTTATATGGCACCA